CCCCCCCACCCCCACCCCCCGCCTCCCAGGGGCCAGGCTTTTCTACAGACTGTTCCTGGGGAGAAGGAAACACAAGGCCGGTGGGGAGGACTGAGCAGCTCCCTGCGGGTAGGAGAAGAGTGCGGATTCGGGGAGGAGGCTCAGCCCTGTGTCCCTTTTGGGATTGAGCAAGTGACTCATCCACGTTCCTCGCTGGAATCTGCGTCAGGGTGGTGGCTGGAGGATTAAGTGAGGTGACCCCGGGAAAGTGTCCGCCACCATGCCAGGCTACTTTTTCATTTTTAGTAACACGGGGTCTTGCTCTTGCTCAGTCTGGTCTCAACTCCTGAGCTCAAGCCATCCTCCTACCTTGGCCTCCCAGAGTGCTGGGATCACAGGTATGAGCCCCGCCCAGCCACTCGGCTTCTGTTTCCTGGGCGGGGTGTGATTCTTATTATGTGCGCAACCACGTGAGCCCAGATTAAACTGTTACATTCTGGTGGGTCCAGTAACAGATTTCCCCTTCCGTAGCTGTGTGTGTATGTTTTGGTGATTTTGCCTCAGAAGCTGGTGCAAACCTGATGATAAATAGCAACGCCAGTCTTACATAGAAAGAGTTTATTGCTTGTCCCGGTCTCGCCTACAGCAGGAGATGGTAGCCCTCTCCCATGGTTTTAAAAGCTCGGCTTTGATTTGAATGCATTTCTTGTCTCTTCTGATGCTTCAGTGGCTTGGCAGTTCCCATCCCAAGCCTTTTTATCATTGATAATATGATAATGTTCATCATGGGTGCAGTTCACAAGAGAATCTCCTTAAGAGAGCCCCAACCTCACTGCAATTATTCAGCGAGCTTTACTTTTCTCAGATCTGAAGCTGTCTTTGAAGTCAGTGAGAAACCTTCAGTGCCAGGAGAGGATGCAAATGCCTTCCTACAAAGGCAGCTCCTCTGACAGGCTATTTCCTCCTCCTTCTTCCTCAAGGTGGAGTGAGCTGTTATCAGGTGGCTGGTTATCCACTTTCAGCTGTCTTCAACAAGGGTTAGCTCTTTCTCTGATTTTACATCTGTTATATTTTAGTCCAAATATTTTGGATATTTATGGTAGCATTTGTGATAGCATTTAACGTAGCCTTTAGACATGGGACAAACACATAAAACCACTCCCCAAAATATCCAACTTGTAGGCCTGATTTTAGAATCAGCTTTATTGAGGAATAATTTATGTGCAAGAAAGTGCTTATATTTAAAGCATGTAACTTGGTACGTTATGACATAGGCATATTTGAATGAAACCATCACCACAATCAAGATAATATGTGTACAACAACTGCAAAGGTTTCTTCATGTCTCTCTCTCTTTTTTTTTTTTTGTTTTGAGACAGAGTCTCACCATGTCACCCTTGGTAGAGTACTGTGGCATCACAGCTGACAGCAACTTCAAACTCCCAGGCTCAAGGGATACTCTTGTCTCAGCCTCCCAAGTAGCTGGCACTACAAGTACCTGCCACCATGTCTGGCTAGTTTTTCTATTTTTAGTAGAGATGGGGTCTTTCTCTTGCTCAGGCTGGTCTCCAACTCCTGGGCTCAAGGGTTCCTCCCACCTTGGCCTCTCAGAGTGCAGGGATCACAGGTGTGAGCCTCCCCATCCAGCCTCCCCCTGCCTCTTCACAATCCTCCTTCCCATCTCCTTTCTGTGGCTGTTCTACTGTCCCCAGGCAACCACTGACCTACTTTTTGTCACTCCAGTGTAACTTGTCTTTTTTAGGATTTTGTGTAAATAGAGTCACACAGTATGTGTTCTTCTTATCTCAGCCTAAGTATTTGGAGCTCCCTCTATGCATTTTCCATCATTAAGAAGAAACCATGATTTGCTTATCCATTTACCCACTGATGGACATATGGGTTGCGTCTAGTTTGGGGCTATTATAAATAAAGTTGTATAGATAGTCTTGTAAAGTCTTCCCAAGAACATTTGCTTTCATTTCTCTTGAATAACTATTTGGAAGGAGCATGGCTAGGTCATGTTTAAGTTTCAAACCACCAAACTGTTTTCTAAATTGGTTGCACCATTTTACTCATGATCTTTTCACGTACTTATTTACTTTCTTCTTTGGGAAAGTGCCTGTTGAAATCTTTTGCCCTTTACAAAAATGGACTGTTTTTCTTATTGTTAAAATTTGAGAATTATTTATTTATTATGGATAGAAGCTCTTTTTGTCAGAGAAGTGATCTACTAATAATCTTTCTTTGCATTTTTTTTAATTCTCTTAACATCTTAACACCTTTGAAGAATAGGAGGTTTCAGTGAAGTTCCATTTATCAATTATTTTCTTTTAAGGAAAGTTAGTAGTGTGTATGGTGTCATAGCTAAGACATTTTTGCTTAACCTCCCCCAATTTTTTTCTTTATTTCTTTTTTCTAAAAATGTTATAATTTTAATTCATTTTGAGTTAATTTTTGTATAAGGTGCAAAATATAGATTGAGGCTTATTTACTTTCTTGGATGTAGATATGCAATTGTTCTAATACTCTTTGTTGAAAAAATTACCTTTTCTCCATCCACTGCATGGCCTCTATACCTCTGTTGCAAAAGAACTGACCGTAGGGAACAACCTCTCTGTTCTTTTGTGGAAAAGGATTCTCATGTACATCTACTGCATTGTCTGTCATTGTTGAGTTGAAGGAATTCCTTATATGTTATGGATATTAACCCCTTATTAGATAAAGGATTAGCATTTTTCTCTCCTATTCTGCGAGGTTCCTTTTCATTCTGTCCATAATGCCTTTTGACACACAAGCTTGCCTAATTTTTAAGCCTCAAATATGCCACTTGTGGGAATAGTGACCCTTAAAATGAAATCAGGCTGGTCAGCTATGGTGGCTCACACCTGTAATCCCAGCACTCTGAGAGGCTGAGGTGGGAGGACCCCTTGAGCTCAGGAGTTCTAGACCAGCTTGAGCAAAAGCAAGATGCCATCTCTACTGCAAATAGAAAACTAGCTGAGTGTGATGGCAGGCACCTATAGTCCCAGCTACTTGGAAGGCTGAGGCAGGAGGATCACTTGAGCCCAGAAATTTGAGGTTGCTGTGAGTTATGATGCCATGGCGCTCTACCCAGGGTGACTCTGTCTCAAAATAAATAAATAAATAAAATTTTGCTGATGAAAGACTGTTAAGCAGAAACAACTATATGAATTACCTGTTGATAAATTGTAAACTATCATACAACTGAGTGGCTCAAAACAATAGTAGACATTTTAAAAAATCATTCACAGTTTCTGTGGGTGTGGTTTGGATTGGGCTGGGTGATCTGGCTTAGATTTCTTCTGGGTTCCAGCTAGGTGGTGGCCGGAGAAGTAACGTCAGCCTTCAGTGTGGCTGGAAGATCTTTCTCCAGGTGGCTCACTCACACATCAAGTTGGTGCTTGCCCTGGGCCAGAGGGCTGAGGTTTCTCCCACACAGACCTTCCTACAGGGCTGCTCAAGTGTCCTTGTGACTCCATGGCCGGCTTCTTCCAAGGCAGGCATCAGAGAGAAGCAGTTCCCAGCCTTGGCATGGCCCCAGACTGTCGGTTCAGGATATACTGCAAGCTGTATGCATTTCTGTTTGGCATGGAGTAAGTAGTTAATAGATACTTATGGACAGAACTTCTCCAGCCTGTGCCTTCTTGGTGGCTAGAGATGACATTTATTTTCACAGCACATGCACAGTAAATGCATCCTATTTTGATGATTTATTGAATCATTATTGTCACATGATGAATTTATGATTGATTTTGAAGGATAATGTCACAGAGAATAATCACATGTTATTTACGGAAGATGCCTGAATTCCTTAGATAAATAACCCCATCTAAACAGAAGGTATTTTATATTATTCTGTGGCCAAACACAGGGAGAAAGAAGCAGACAGACCATTGCAAGCTCGTGAATCACCTTGAGTTTTGCCACAAACATGAAATAGCCTTGCTGCCTTTTTGTTATGGTGTAAGGAAGAATTAGAGATAGTTGTTTTTCAGAAGGATTCCCTCTGCACAGAGCCCTAGCCATTTATGTGGGCTGAGTCTGTGGAGGAAGAATCCATCATTTCCTGCTTTTTGGGGAGGAAGCCTGTGTTAGGCCACTGTGGCCCTGAACTCAAATATAGTTTTAGAGCCTCCAAGCCCTGTGGTTTGAAGAGAAGTGGAAGAAGGGCCTGTTTTCTGGGCAGCTTTATGAGTGTACATTGATTTACAGTCGTCAGGGGAGAAAGGTCAATTTGCGGGACTGTAGATTTCACATCCATCACAGTATTTTATGGCCTTGTGGGTGATTTTAGTTTGGGGTGTCAAACTAGTCATTTGGTCTTGTTAATGCTTTTGCTCGACAGACATATTTTTCCAACACAAACAAGGGCAAGTGGTGTGTGTGTCACACACGTTGGTCTTCCAGCTATTTCAGGATAGGGTCGCAGAGACCAAGGTCAGGTCAAGAACGGAGAAGCATTCATGCCTTGACTTTTAGAAGGATGGGAATCCAGGTTCTGTGAAATTTGTTAATTTAACTAAGGTCTGTCTCTCTCTCTCTCTTTTTTTTTTTTTTTTTTTTTTTAGAGACAAGGTCTCATTCTTGCTCAGGCTGGTCTCAAACTCCTGAGATCAAGGAATCTTCCTGCCTCAGCCTCCCAGAGTGCTGGAATCACAGGTGTGAGCTATCATGCCTGGTGTTTTTTTTTTTTTTTTTTTTTAATGAATTAACTGCTCCCCTGCTACTTTATTTATTTATTCAGTTTTTGAGACAGAGTCTCAATCTGTTGCCCTGGGTAAAGTGCTGTGGCATCATAGCTCACTGCAACCTCAAACTCCTGGGCTCAAGCAATTGTTTTGCTTCAGCTTCCCAAGCAGCTGGGACTACAGGGTATCACCACTGCGCCCGGCTAGTTTTTCTATTTTTAGTAGAGATGGGGTCTCACTCTTGCTCAGCTGGGTCTTGAACTCCTGAGCTCAAGGGATCCTCCCACTCCAGCCTCCCAGAGTGCTGGGATCACAGGTGTGAGCCACAACACCAGCCAAACAGGTATCCTTGCAGGTTCTCCTTCAAGTCCTTGAATTAGACAGGGCTGAGGAAGGTCACCGAGGTTGCACCATCTCCCCCTCCTCTTCTTTTTTGCTACATCTGGACAATCACTCCCTGCATTGCACTGTCCTCCTGTGATTTCACACAAGGCTCTCTCCTTTCCTCCAAACAGACAGGAATGCCAGGTAAACAGAAGCACAGAAGAATGAGTTACTTGAATTTATTTCTGCAACACATGCCAGCCTGCAGCAGGCTGTTCACCTGTCTGTGTATTCTGAAGTTTGCGGAACCACCCATTTACACAGGTACATAAACGACAGACATGCACTTCTGAAGAAGCAGATAAGTGTTGCAGAGGAAGAAAAGAGGTGTTGGGGTCACGTTTCTGCCTTCATCTCCATCTCCTCATCAGAGAGATGGGAGGAAGATACCAGGTGACTCGACGAGGCCCTGCATTTGAAGTATCTTTACAACCTCTTACCGTTTGTGATGATTTAGTAATACTATAGGGCAGAGTGAGGGAGCGGGGGTGCTCCCACCACATATCAGAATTGCTTTTCATTATTTCAATATACCTTTTTTCCTTAAAATGATCATAAAATGTTCCTTGGAGTGACAGCCGAACTTCAGTGTTTATGACTTTCTGATTGCTCTAGCAGTTGAGGGAAGGAAAAACATAAAAAATAAATAAAAATGAGCCCTCAAGTAAAATTTGAGTGGAAAAGATTAAAACTCACAGTGAGAGGATCCTTTTCATTTGAGTGAACGCTCACTTTTTCCTCGGTAAGTTTTATGCATCAGCCCTGTTTTTCCTATATTTGACAGCCCTCAAAGAAGTACTCCATTTCTTTCTTGAAAAGTACACGAATGGTTTCAGTTTTTGAAAACAAGCCCTTTTAGATCAGCACAATTTTCCTGCCAGATTTTACACTCTCCTTCAACTGTCAACCGAGCACACACTCCTTCTGCCTTGCCAGCGAACGGCTCATTTCAGGGCCCAGCAGGCTGGCGTATGAATCAGTGAAATGGAGAAACAACAGTGTCCTCGTCTTCAGTACATTTAAACTGCTACGATTTAGGGTCTCTACATGGCTGATGGGCGATGTGTGCTCAGAATCATTTAGTCATTTTCCTTCCTGTGAACTCTGGTTCTTTTCCGATTCATCTGTATTTAGGGTCATATGACAGAATTAAACCATATCTCTTTAATCACTTTATGATTTTGTGATCAGTTTCCTTTCTTCAAAGTGTAATTCTATGGCTATTTAAAGGTAAATATTATTACTTGATTTATTTATTTTTTTGAGACAGAGTCTCACTCTGTTGCCTAGGCTAGAGTTCCTGGGCATGATCATAGCTCACAGCAACCTCAAACTCCTGGGCTCAAGCGATCCTCCTGCTTCAGCCTCCCTAGCAGCTGGGCCTATAGGCAACCACCACCACACCTGGCTAGTTTTTCCTATTTTTAATAAAGGTGGGGTCTCACTCTTGCTCAGGCTGGTTTTGAACTCCTGAGCTCAAGCAATTCACCTGCCTTGGCCTCCCAGAGAGCTGGGATTACAGGTGTGAGCTGCTGTGCTCCAGCTAAAGAGTACATTATTAATGCCTGAATAACTTAGAGATGGGGAGGAACAATATAACCACAGGTTGAGCATCGTCCCTGATCTGAAACTCCAAAACCTGAAATATCTGCAAATCCCATACTTTCCAAGTGCTTGATAAGATGCCACAAGCAGAAAATTCTACACATGAATACTTGAAGAAAACTTTGTTTTATGCATAAAAGTATTAAAAATATAGCATAAAATTACCTTCAGGATGTATAAGGTGCATATGAAAATTAAATGAACTTTATGTCTAGACTTGGGTCTCCTCCTTAAGGTATTATGTGTATGCATATACTCCAAAATCTGAAAAAATCTGAAATCTGAAACACTTCTGGTCCCAAGCAGTTTGGATAAGGGGTACTCAGCCTGCATTTCCCTTCATGGTGTTTGTAGTTACAACATGGCTGTAAACTCCAACTGCTGTTCAAGTCTGTGGATGCGATTTAAGGAAAATAGACACTGTTGACAATGTCAGAAAGAGAACCAAGAGGCCAACCTCTCCGAAAGAAGCCTCGCTTCATAATGAAAATCTTATCACACTTCTTTCTAGAGTTTAAGTTTCAGTGACAACTTAAACCCACAGCTCTTTCTGTTCTTATTCTTCCTGACTAATTAGATAATTAATTAGTTAATCAGGAAAATATCTGAGGGCCACCAAGCTCTGCTTTTAGGTGCTGGGATTATAGTGGCAAATAACACAGACAGAAAGCCATGCCCGTGTGTCAGCGACACTGATGGTGACCGTGCCTTGGATGACACTGCGCGTGAGGCTGGTACTCTGCCTACAGGTCAAGCCCAGCTGGGTCTGATCCTGAGTTACTTACTCTTGCCAGGCTGGTTCCAGATGGAACTTTGTAAGGGACGTACTTTCTGTAGATGTGACCAACTCTGGAACATGGAACATCAAACATTTCTCCTCCACACATCCATACCTGATGGGCAGAAAGGGTAAGAAAGAGAACAGTGAATTTCACACAGAACAGCAGGTGCAGTCGCTCAGGAGGCTGAGCAGGGAGGCTCCCTGGAGCCTCAGAGTTCAAGTCTAGCCTGTGGAAATGAGGTAAAATGGGTAAAAAGGTAAAAATAAGTTAAAAAGGATTTAGGAAACATCTCAAAAATCTCTTGTAGTCTTCTAACTCAATAATTTGTTTATTTTAAAAGATTAACCAAGAAAGAAAAACACACATCTTTAAAAACTTAGATCCATAAATGTATGGAACAACATACTAGTTCAGCAAAATCTTTGTCCATAGATGACATATTGGCTTTTCAAACATTCTAGTAGAATTTTATTACCAAAATTCTATTGACCTGGTATTTAATGCTTAGAAATCTTATTTATATACATATTTGTTTTGATTATCTTGTAGCATCATTTGCAGAAATAACATTGAGATTTAACACATCAATTTAAACATTTAAAATGTAAAAAGCAGAATTTCTAAAACAGACCAATTAATTGTGAAACAAACGTATCCACACTCTGAGTTACTCCCTATTCTGAAATCTGCAGTAGTGCTCATCTTAAAAAGCAGGTGGCATTGTCATTCCTGCCCCCACTGACCTTTCCTCAGGCACACAGAATCCTTGTTTAGTTATCTGGATTCAGGAAACATTAAACTCAAGGCATGTGTTCAGATGCTGTTCTTATATGTCATAACAAAAGTTAATTATATGTAGTAACAAATGTCATGTTTGTAATTCCACCGTGACCACCTACTCAGGTAGACACATACCTAATGGTGGTTTTCATTTAGAAATTTTTTTTCCACATAATGTTTATTAAGACAAAGTTTCACTCTGTCACCTTGGATAGAAATCATAGCTCACAGCAATTCAAACTCTTGGGCTAAAACAATCCTCCTGCTTCAGCCTCTCTGGGCTGGGACTATAGGTGCTCACCACCACGCCCAGCTAGTTTTTTTTTATTTTTAGTAGAGATGGGGTCTTGATCTTGCTCAGGTGAACTCCTGAGTGCAAGGGATCCTCCCCTTCAGCCTTGGAGAGTGCTGGGATCACAGGTGTGGGCCACCATACTTGCCTACTGCCAGTTTATTAAAGACATTAAATTTGGGGGAAGAAAAATGGATTCAAACATCATAAGTGTGCTTCTTTGGGCAAAATATTATGGTTAAGGACTATCTTTTACTTCCCTTAACTCATGATTCTACAGCTTACTCAGAAGGTACATCAGAGGCCAACTGTCTTCTTTTTAACCAGATTTCCATATGCCTCTAGATTTTGAATCTGTTGCTTAAATTTTTCAGATTCACTCTCTGCTAAAATTAGAGTTCTTTAAACATTTTTTTTTTTTTAAGTTGGCTTTCTGTTATAGAACAAGAACTTCCTTCTTTTAGGGAAATATCCACGCCCAGGATCCCCCCTCTCCCTGGGTAGGGCTGGCATTCACCCACATTCCTAATGGCAGGGGTGGGGCCAAGTGAAAAGTCCTTAGCTGGGTTTTCCTCATGGGGTGGGGAGGGGAGTGAAGCAGAACATGAACCCCTGAGAGCTGTCAGTGGCCAGGTGTCAGGAATAGGAGAAGAGTCCATGGCAGGGAAAGATTTGCAATGAAGCTGGTCTGGAGTGAGGCAAAGGAGAGAAAGATTCAGAGAAAGTGCCCGACAAATCTGAGGCCCACCCTCAGATTGGGCCACCTGGGGACACCAAGAGACCTGCTCATTTTCTGGATTCTCTCACAGTTTGTTTACATTGGCTTCCTCCCCAACCTCTTGTCCTTTCTAACTTAGAAATGAGTTGAGTTTCTGTTGCCTTACAAGCCAAAGAATCCAAATAAATAAACTCTTCTTGAACAGCGAGGGTGGAGGTGCCTAGGAGGGCCAGAGATGCACTTTGAAACAGGCACCTCAGGGAAGTGCTGCTCAGGTGAGTGCCCTTTGGGGAAGTGTGAACTGAAATAAAATCCTAAGGCTCCCCACCCACTGCCAGCAGCTGACTTACTGGCCCCCTCTTGGCCAAGGGGATCCCTAAAACTGAGTTGCTGGCCATGAGAAAGGAGCTCAGACAGGCCTCGTCACGCCCCCTCCCCTCCTTGGATCTGTCCTCTGTGAGTCACTAACAGGCCTCAGGCTCTGCAAGACCCCCCTGCAGGTCCTCAATGTACCCAGCAAACCACCCGGGTCTGTGGGGACTTTGTCTCCAGGTAACAGACCCTTTGTCTTAAGCATCCCTTTCCACTGACTTCCGCTCTTTTAGGCAAAGCCTAACATTTTCAGCCAATTGTCCGCTAACGAACCTTTAAACCCACCTAGAACCTGTAGGCTCCTGCTTCAAGATGTTTCTGGGCCAAACCAATGTATGTTTTTCATGTATTGCTTTTTCACCTCACCCATGACTCCTGTCTCCCTGAAGTGTATAAAACCCAATTGTCCCCTACCACTGTGAGTCCATCTGCTCAGTGCTTCTTGACTGTGGCTCCAGGTCATGGTCCTCCAATCTGGCTCAGAGTAAACCTCCTTTACATTATTTTACTAAGTATGGCTTCTTTTCCATCAACAGAAGCAAATAGAAATTTATTTTTAAATTTCATTGATGTTTTCATTAACTATTATTAATTTATTTGTTTAGAGACAGAGTTTTACTTTGTCCCTCTCAGTAGAGTGCTATTCTGTCATAGCTCACAGCAGTCTCAAACTCTTAGGCTCAAGTGATCCCCTTGCCTCAGCCTCCTAAGTAGCCGGGACTACAGGTGCCCTCCACAAATGCCCAGCTGAGACAGGATCTCACTCTAGCTCAGGCTGGTCTGGAACCGTGAGCTAAGGCAATCCACCTGCTTCAGCCTCCAGAGTTCTGGGATTACAGGTGTGAGCCACCACGCCCAGCTCTTTCATTAACTATTTAATAGCAATATTCAATATGGAGATGTTTCACCAATTTTTTTTTTTTAAAAGTGAATACTCTTAAGTGCTCATAATGGCATTTGTGAATTATTTTTATCTTGAGGAGAAGTTGCCATACTTTCATGAGGAGGTGAAACTGTGACCAGGTTTGAACCAGGCAGTTTCCAGCCCTTTTCTGAGTCTCCTTTTCATCTGCTGTAAAGTTGGGGGAATATACCTACTTTGTAAGGTGGGTCAACTTAGGTTGGCCTTATAAATTACAAATTGCTGACTGTGATGTAGGGTATAAAAGTCCACTTCTTATGCCACTAAAGTTAAACGTGTGCTTACTTTCTGGATACTCAGAATAATTCTGCCTTTGGGATTTGGGTAAACGTCTTAAGAATCATTTAGAGAATTTTCTGTAAATTTCTATACAAATACCTTTTGAAGTGAGCGGGGAGGATCAATGCCTTTTATAGATTTATACATAGGAAGCATTAGAATGTTTAGATATTGTATTTCATTTTTCTTGTTAGGAAAAATAAGGGCCAGACAAATAAAAACGTTTGAAAAGAAAAATTTTGATATTAGAAAAAGATCACAATAGGAAGTGAAATTGACGTAACACAAGTGCTATATTACTGTGTTAAGTTGTTATTACTATTATCATCATCATCATCATCATTATTTTTGCTCACTTGGAAGCTACCTTGTAAAAGCTAAAATAAAATTAAGCAAGGAATTTGGAAGACGCATCAGACATATAGGAAGTGACAACTGGAGGAATCCGCCTTTGCCTCTGGCTTTTATTGAACAGACACAAAATTTAACTGGAAAATGGTCTGTTACACCTGAGGTTCCTTTTGTTGGATGATTGGAATGAATCTCAGACTCGCTGGTGTGACATTTAGCAGCCGTATCTGTTTATCTTTGGGTTTCCGAATGAGTTTAGAGTCATTTTAATATTTTCTTTGCTATAATTCTGAGCATGTTGAATTAGAATGGATATTTTTATGTCACCTGGGCTAACATTGTAGGGGGGAAAAACCCATAGGAACAACTTTAGATATTTTCTTGTGAATCTGGAGGTGTATTGTGTGCCATAAAAAGGCTTCTGTCCCATTTTAGATATGAGATGAAGTCATGCTTTGAGGTACCCTGCAGGTTCTGGAGAAAGGTGCAGTCTCTGATAGAACTGTGACATAAAAGCAATGAGAAGGCATATAAAATATTTGAAAATCAACCTTGGCATAAAAAGGATTCTAATAAGTGCATTTAACAAGGCTGAATTTATTTCTGACAAAACCTTTTGCACAAGTGTCACCATGATTGCTGCTTCCTAGAAGGCTTACGGGGACAAGAGTGAACTCCTATAAATGAGGCTGAGCCTTACCCATCTATGGAGGCAAATGAACTGTTTTAGGAGTATAAATTAAACACCCTAGGGGCCTTTTGTATTTTCAGACAACTGTGGAGAAAGAGAAAAATGCTTATTAATAAAAACCTGTAGGTTCTCAGTCAGGCATGCTGGCTCAAGCTTATAATCGCAGCACTCTGGGAGGCTGAGGCAGGCCAACCCCTAGAACTCAGGACTTAGAGACCAGCCTGAGCAAGGTCAAGACACTGTCTCTACTAAAAATAGAAAAACTAGCCAGGCATGGTGGCAGGTGCCTGTAGTCCTAGCTACTTAGGGGGGTGAGGCAGGAGGATCGATTGAGTCCAGGAGTTTGAGGTTGTTGTCAGTGAGGCTGAGGCCATAGCACTCTATCCAGGGCGACAGAGTGAGACTCTGTATGAGCAAAATTTAAAAAAGAAGAACATTTACGTTCTGGACTTAACACAATTTCTATTATTATGATGTAAAATAGGCTAATGAACTCTCCATATTCAGACGTGTCTTCCAAACCTTCAGTTCTGCTCACTTCAAATCCTTCAGCGCTTTGCACACTTCAGTGCCATTTATGGGACATGTCTCCAAATGCAGACGTTTGATTTTTCTTTCTTATTTTTATTACCAATGCACAGAGATATTCATAACCGACTCTCTGGATTCCCTTCACAGGGAAAATTCTTGCTTCTTCACAGTAACAGGGAGCAGAGTGGACAGGAACCCCAAGGCCAGCAGACGACAGTGAGAAGAATAAAGGAAAGCATCTGAAATGGGTCCAGGTGAAGACATGGTGGTTGCCAAAGAATCTGTTATTCCAACCAACAACCTGGGACGATGCAGTCCTGCACATCCAGTGCCTGTTGCCATGGTTTCTAGACAAAGACGCAGGACCTCATCCCAATTATATCCTCCAGAATGACAGATAACTGAAGACTAGGAAGTGAGGTAATGAAATCTCAGGTCACCCAGAAGAGCTGTGATAGACGCAAGTGACAGAGGAGTGAGAGAGGAGTGTAGGTTTGCCTAGGAAACATCTTTGTGATCTGGAATGCTAATGTACACTCTGAAAACTACAGATTCTCAAAAGCAATTTCACCATCATCCAAGTCATTATATAAAGCCAGGGAGCTCTCATTCAATGGAATTTTTCTTTCTTTCTCTCTCTCTCTTTCACTGAGTTTTACTCTATATCACCCACACTAGATAGCTATGGTGTCATAGCTCACAGCAACCTCAAACTCCTGTGCTCAAGTGATCCTCCTGCCACAGCCTCCCAAGTACCTGGGGCTATAGGTACCCACCACCATGCCCAGCTAGTTTTTCTATTTTTAGTATAGACAGGGTCTCACTCTTGCTCAGGCTGGTCTTGAACTCCTGAGCTCAAGCAATCCTCCCGCCTCAACCACACACAGTGCTGGAATTACAGGTGTGAGCCATCATGCCTGGCCAATAGAAATTTTAATAACATTTTAAACTTAAGGAATTCATGAACTAAGAGAATTTAAGGAAAAAACCCTCTTGACCTGTGAAAACTAAAATATATCCCTTGAATTCTGATGATATTGAAAACACAGCCATGCCATTTTTTCCTCTAAAGCTGAGGTAAGGTGTAATATTCTGGTACTGCTGTAAACTTTGCACCCAGCTAATACATGGTTAGTATCTGAAAATCAATCAATAGTATGTTGCCTTGATCAGCAGAACGTTTGCTGGTGTGCTACTAGAAGAAATTGGCCTCCATTCAACGAGATAAACTGTTAGGTAGGGATTGAAAGTTAACAGTGAACTTGAGAATGGTATTGATGAATCTTAAGTGTCAGAAAATTTCACGTTTCTGTATTCTTGGTAATTAAACAGAAATAGAGCATTTTTATCCCTACCTGACACTGAGTAATTTCTTTGATCTTTAAAAATGAAAAACTAAATTAGTCTAAAACTCTTTAAAATTTTAAGACTCAGTTCTTCATCTGTATAATGGAACAATAATACCCACCTTTTAGAGCTGTGATTTTTAACTGGACGACATACATAAGGCACTCAACTTAGCATCTGCCATTTACTACGGAGTAAAGCTTCCTTGGGATACTTTACTAAGAAGAATGCGTTCTAACTCTGCCCAGATTAATACAAAAGATGTAAAGTTGCCATCTTTTCTGTAGAGCCTACTTTTTCTATAATTATTACTATTATAATTATTACCTTCTGCCATATATGCTGTGACACAGTATAAAACTATTGCTATAACAGAAAAAGCCAAAGATATTGGCAAATTCTTAAAACAATGCATCTACTAAAAGGTTATAAAAAGTGACTTAAGGTCGCCAGAGTGGTGGGTGGTTCATAACTATAATCTCAGCACTCTGGGAGGCTGAAGTGGGAGGATCCCTTGAGCTCAGGAGTTTAACACCAGTCTGAGCAAGGTCAAGACCCAATCTCTACTAATAACAGAAAAACCAGCGAGGCGTTGTGTTGGGTGCTGGTAGTCCCAGCTACTCAGGAAGCTGAGGCAGGAGGATTGCTTGAGCTCAGAAGTTTGAGGCTGCTGTGAGCTCTGATGCAACAGCACTCTACCCAGGGCAACAGAGGGAGACTTTTTCTCAAAACTAAAAAAAGTGCCTTAGATATGAAACTAGATGTGTTTGAATAATGCTAAAAAAAAGCACTAATTTAACCAATGCTATTTCAAGGATTATTGCCAGCATAGTGAGAGGAAAATTCTAGATGTTCTGAAGCCTGCAATTATTTGTCCTGACTTTCCCTTTGGGGACACCCATTTTATGAGACTTTGAGGACAACATAACATGGCTGTTAACATGATGAATATTGCTGTTACAGTTTAATACAAATCAGTGCTATCATTTGCTTCTTATGTGTAAATTCAAAAAGTTAATTGGATTCTTACTTTTGACTTATACTATATTCAGGATGCATTTTTTTCATCAGCAAGAACTGGCTGATGAGTTTTTAATGGAAGTAGTTAGCAAATGCTGATTTACTTAACCGGAGGTTTTTGTATGGTAAATGTTGCAAGAATCAACCTATACATCTACATAAAGAATGATCATGATAGAGGCAACATAGGAGGGTTTTTTCTTTGAGTCTTCTTTTTTTAAAAAAAAAGTCTATGTTGGCAATTTGTATAATAACCTTTTGCACTTTATTTTGCTTTGCTTAACTTCTTCATATGTTATAGTAAAATTTTTTTGGTTCATAAACTCTGAAATTTGATACTATAGCACAAATATGTATATATATGCATGTGTATATTTTATGTGCAATAAAGCATATAATTTTACCGGGCATTTATGTTGAAAGCAAGTGTAGGCCTGGCCAATTTCAAGTAAAAATAATTCAAAAACTTGTTAATTTGAGACTTATATGAATAAGAGCTTCAATTTGTCATTTATATTTTCAGGCTCACACTTCTGTTACTGGAATTTTGAAATAACTGGTTGTGATCAAAATCTGAATGACTGGCAGGGCTTGGTGGCTCACATGTGTAATCCCAGCTCTCTGGGAAGCTGTTGCAGTCTCCAGCTCAGGGGTTTGAGATCAGCCTGAGCAAGAGCAAGACCCTGTATCTACTAAAAATGGAAAACTAGCCTGGTGGTGGGCACCTGTAGTCCCAGCTGCTCAGGAGGCTGAGGAGGAGGATCTTTTGAGCCCAGGAGTCTGAGGTTACTATGAGCTATGATGACGCCACAGCACTCCACCCAGTGCAATAGAGTAAGGCTCTCTCTCTCTCAAAGAAACAAAAACAAAAACAAAAACAAAACAAGAAAACCAAAAAAAGAACTAGGCCTACATACAATACAGAGGTCCTATTGTACATGTAATGGAATATAATTGAGCCATAAAAAGAATGGGATCCTGTCATTTGCAGCAACATGATTAGAATTGAAGTTCATTATATTAAGTGAAATAAGGCAATTAGAGAAAGGCCCATATCAGAGGTTCTCTCTCTTACATGGGAGGTAAAATGTTGATCTCATGAGGTAGAGAGTAGTATGGTGGTCAGCAGAGGCTGGAAAGAGAATAGGGGAGGGGAGGGCTGATGAGAAGTTGGGCAATAGGTACAAAAACACAGTTAAACAGGAGGGGTAAGGTCTAGTATTCAGCAGTCCAGCAGGAAAGTTAAAGTTAACAATACTGTATATTTCAAAATAGCTAGAAGCATTGTCATCTTACCAACACAAAGAAAAGAGAAACATTTGAAGTGATAAACATTTTGATTACCCTGATTTATTATTAAACATTGTGTATGTGTATCAAAATGGCTCATGTACACCCCCCAAGTATAGTGATTGTACATCAATAATAAAATTAAAAATCCAAAATTACAAAAGCTCCCTTGGGAAGGCAACATGGCTGTTGTTACTCAGAAGTCATATTCTATCAGAACTGTCAAAGTCATGCAGACACAGTGTGAAGAGCGTCTTAGAAACTTACCTTAAAAGAGATTTCATACTGTTCTCCTCCCCAGATCTCTAACCCTGGGTCATAGCCACCCAATTCCCAAAACCACTTTCGATCCACAGCAAAGAGACCTCCAGCCATGACAGGGGACCTGGGAAATGAACAGAATAGTCTTTAGGGACTGAACATTAGAGATGATGGAATTATGTTTGGCAATAAAAGCAAACTTGAAGATATGTTTTAGTGGTTGAAAACAGTTTCTGTATGTGGATATGGGATTCCCATTGGGCCTATCACTGGAAGGACTTGGGCGGGAGAGGAAGGAAGCTTTCTCCTTTGTAAGCCTTGAACTTGGCGTCAACGTTCTACAGAACCACCTTGCTTCATCTGCTTGTCATTGGAGAGAAATATGTGAGTAGTAGTAGCTGATATGCTGGAAGGAGTCACTCTGTTTTATGGCTTTCATCAGATTGAAAGGGAGCCCCTACTCTCAAAAGTATTGAAAACCCTATTGTAGATAATGTCTTTGATTTAATCTCTCTGTACCCATTCACCAAACATCTGCTGTGTACAAGCCATGTCCAATTTATAGACCGTAAGTTGGTTGGTTAGAATAAAATAACCAACCAGATTTGGTTATTTAGTTAATACCACAAAGCTAAAATGGAAATTTGGTTGTTCACATTTTATGTTCTTCTTTTGTAGACCTTTTCCTCTTTTCTTTTTTTTTTTTTTGAGACAGAGCCTCAAGCTGTCGCCCTGGGTAGAATGCCGTGGCATCATGGCTCACAGCAACCTCCAACTCCTGGGCTCAAGCGAGTCTCCTGCCTCAGCCTCCCAAGTAGCTGGGACTACAGGTGCCTGCCACAATGCCCAGCTATTTTTTGGTTGCAGCCATCATTGTTGTTTGGCGGGCCCGGGCTGGATTTGAACCCGCCACCTTAGGTATATGTGGCTGGCACCTTAGCCACTTGAGCCACAGGCGCTGAGCCCTTTTCCTCGTTTCTAAGAAATATTTCTTTTGGATAAATAATCATTTTCAAGGATTTCACTCCTGCTAGGATGGGTGGTATTTATGTTGCTGTGTAGTGAAGATTATTATAATCACAGGGGCGGAAATTGCCCTGAGAAGTTTTGCAGTTCCAAGGTATAATAATCCTTGCTAGAGACAGACAGGATTTTGGTTAGTTTCTTTATTTCTAAAGTCTACCTGACATAGCCTCGTATTTTTTAGGGTTCTTTCCCCCCCTTGTATTAAACCATTACAAATTATCTCCACCTGTATCCCAGGGTAGATGGCAATGCATAACTGGATTTTGGCACTTCTCACAACGAAAGTAAAAGTTTCTCTGTAAAAATAGAAAAAAGTTCTCTACTTTTCTAGATTTACAAATGCAAATGTTCATGTTTAGAAAAAAGTTAGTAGCAAAGGAATGGGGCCAACTAAGTTACCCGAAAACAAGTAGCAGAATTAGGACTTTTCAGCTTTTTGGATGTTATGAGGAAGAAAACAAAATCATAAATCACAGTGCACATTTTGTACTATTTTGTACCGTGGTTTCTAATTTGGTTTTTAACACATCCAGGAACACATACAATATCACAAACCATCAAACTATGGTTTGGAAGGTTTTATAAAATCGAATATGGTTTGCTGCTCCCTTTGTACTTAGAGTAGCAGACTCCTCTGTGAAAGGATGTAAAGGGGCAATGGAGGTAGAAATCTTGGGGGGTGCCAGGACAAATTATACAGCACGTTAAATGAAACGGAAGTCGTAAATATAGTGTGATGGCTTTGCTGTGATGTTTCAATTTAGCTCCTGGGTCTGAAGTTGCTCAGAATATGGCTGCCTTCCTATCCTCACTGGTGGGCACTGATGTTTATTTATTTATTAATTTCAGATTAATATGAGGGCACAAGTGATTACAATGTACAAGAGGTTACAGGGTTTGCGTTTGTTAGGTGAGGTTCCTCTTGCAATTGCGTCCCACACCCGGAGGTGTGCCATGTACCCTTACATTGTGCCCATTAGGTTGGTGCTCACCCATCACCCTTCCTCCTCCTCTCTCTCCCTCCCCTTCTCTTCCTTTCCTCCAATTTGAATTAAATTGAGTTTTTCTCTTTTGTGGATATGTATTAGCTCATCTACTAGCTTCATATCAGTATTGAGTATACTTGCTTTTCTATTCTTGGGATACTTTACTAAGAAGGATGTGTTCTAACTCAATCCAGGTTAATACAAAAGATGTAAAGTCACCATCTTTTTATGACTGAGTAGTATTCCATGGTGTACATACACCATAGTTTATAAATCCATTCATGGTCGATAGGCGCTTGGGTTGTTTCTATGTCTTGGGGATTGTAAACTGAGCTGCAATAAACAATCTAGTGCACATGTTCTTATGATAAAATAATTTTTTTCTTTTGGGTGAATGCCTAGTAATGGGATTGCAGGATCAAATGGGAGGTCTAATTTGGGTTCTTTGAGGATTCTCCATACTTCCTTCCAAAGAGGCTATATGAGTTTAGGTTGTCTGTGGGCACTGATCTTATCATGAGGTAAAACAGAAAACTTGGGATGTCAGAGTCTACGGTAATAGCATTTAGGGCAGATGAGTAGATAAAATGTGCTAAATATTTATGTGACCAAGGTGCTGTATCCCTCTGCTACTTTTTTGTGCCCAGGAAATAAATGGTGTGTGTGTATGTATGTGTGAGTGTGGGGGAGTGTGTGTGTATGTGTGTGCTTGTTTATGCTGTACAAGTAGAAGACCTACTCAGAGTGATGACCAGAGTGTTGGTGCCAAAATTCCTGTCCTCATTCCCATTCCTCTGGTGAGTGGATGGATGGATTCACCTGTCTGGATAGAGCCCATAGTTCCTGGTCATCTTGCTCTTTATATGAGTATGTGCTAAACAATGGATGGGGACCGGTCACACTTCACTCCTAAAAATGGCAGAACATACCTGCTGTCCCTTGGTGAAATGTCCTCAACATGTTTGGGGAAACTTACTTTCCTAAGTCACTTCCTTCAAATTTCTTGAAGCAATGCCAGGGATTGGAGTCTCAGTTCAAAGTGTAGGTTTTTTTTTGTTGTTGTTTTGTTTTGTTTGTTTGTTTTTTAGGCAGACTCTCATTTTGTCACCCTGGGTAGAGTGCTGTGGTATAAGTGGCATCATACCTTACAGAAACCGCAAACTCTTGGGCTCAAGTGATCTTCTTGCCTCAGCCCCCCAAGTAGCTGGGACTATAGGCATCTGTCACAATGCCTGGCTGTTTTTAGAAATGGGGGTCTCACTTTTGTTCAGGCTGATCTTGAACTTCTGAGCTCAGGCAATGCACCTGGCTTGGCCTTCCAGGGTGCTAGGATTACAGGCCTGAGCTGCCCATGCCTAGCTCAAAATGTAGTTTTATACATATACCATGGCATATTATTTACCCCTAAAAAAGATAGAGACTTTACATCTTTTATATTAACATGGCTGGAGTTGAGACATTCTTCTTAGTAAAGTGTCACAAGAATGGAAAAGCAAGTATACAATGTACTCAATTGTCATATGAAGCCAGTAGAAGATGATCTAATACACCCCCCCACAAGAGAAAAACTCAAATTAATTCAAGGAGGGGGAGGGGGAGACGAGAGGAGGATTGGTGAGCTCCCACCTAATGGGCACAATGAGAGGGTACATGGCACACCTCCTGGTTCAGGACAACTACAACAGGGACTCCACCTAACCAATTTTGTAACCTAACAAATATTGTAACCCAACTATTTGTATCTTCACATTCATCTGAAATAGAAAAGAAAAAAATATAGTTTTGGATTTTTTTTAATATTCCCAAATTAGCCCCCCAGCCTAAGTATTCTTTAATTCTTACTGGAGTCATTGATTTCTGAGTGGCCACAGATTTTAATCATGGTCTCATGTGAGATGTCAGGATAATTGCCACGATGTCCCTGTTCTCATGCGATTGATCTCAATAGTGCAAAACTCTCCCTTGCTGAGGGGACAGATGAGGTCATGCTGACATTGACGCCCAAATGGCAGTGGTCTCTGGGTCTCTCTGCATGAGAACAGGCTTCAGCCTCTTCCTGTCCACTGGCTCTCCTGGCTCTCTGGCAGTGATCAGGAGGTGACACTGGGCTCAGGAACAAGCCAGCTCAGGAGTTGACCTACCCCTCCCTGGGGAAGGCTGCCCTGGGACCCAGCCTAGCCTGGGCCTGAGTGCCACAGGCTCCTGCTCATGCTTAGTGCACCACAAAGCCTTTCCTGAAAGCCACATTCTGCATCTGAAGCTGGGGCTGCTGGGGTGGGCGGTGGGATGCAGACTCAGGCAGATGCTGCTCCATCACCCTGAGACTCACCTGCTTGCCTCATTGCTGGGAATATGAAGAGTATAAAGGGGTCTTCCAATTGCTTGGACCTGCTTGGAGGCTAGTTCTTTACCCGAGCTGGGTGGAATTAGCTCCAGAGCGTATGATTATTGTGTAGTGTTGCTACAGCCTTTCCTGGATTTGAATCATTTATCTATCAGGCATTGTGAATTGCAGTCACCAGGTCACTGCTGGCTTCTAAATATTCAGTTTTGGCTAGAAATAGAATCAAAATCTGCCCATCACTCATTCTATTCCCTGCTATCTTCTGATAATATAGAAAAGAGCCCAAAGGACCCTTTTCTGTCCTATGTAATGAGACATCTGCCAGCTCTCCTTTGGGGAACGGAATACATAGAGAAAGTGTGGGAGAGAGGGCTCCTCTCCTGGTTCCATGCGCCCACGTCCGCTCAGTACAGGTTAGACTTAACTGTGTGTCTCAGATGTCCTTACTCGGAGGCCCCCCATTCACGTGGTTCAGATAATCACATTCTGAGAATGAGCTTTCCTCCCCTTGTGGCTGTAATGCTCTCTACTCCCCACAACTGAGAAAGAGAAAGCTGGTCACTAAGCAGAATGTCACAGGTCCCAGGTGCGCCTGCCTGCCCCACAAAGATGGGGACATCTGGCTGTGTGATGGAGCCCCAGATACCTGCTGGAGAGTTAAAGCTTTGCTGTTGCCCTTATCCAGAGGGAAAATGAGCTGCTCAGGAGGCAGTGTGTGCCCTGCTCTCCTTCGCCCTGGCCACCTTGCACAGGCAATGTGGGGCTGAG